AGAATTGTCTCCATGTTTTTAAGGAAGTGTACAAACAGGAAGGGAGGAGCTTAACAAAAAGCAACTGAAGAGTTACACTACACAGTTTATACACATTATAAATAAAATAAGTAGTAAACTGTTTGACATTTAATTCACACCACTGTACAGAGTACTTCAAAAGGAAAAATAAAAAAGTAAATATCAAGGTTTTCTTGGATCTAGATCATACTTAATTTATAGCCCTGAACAAAATACTCTGGAAGACTAGGCGTGTTGGTAAACGATATCACTTGAAAGTTAATTTCCCATAGGAACATGTGGTTGACCACTGTGAGTCTGCTCAACAGCCCTCCTCCCCTTGGCAGCTTCAGGCCATGAGAGCCTGACCACCATGGGCTGCCCACCAGACCCTCACCTGCTGAGCCTTCCTCGTGGCTAAGACCGGTGTGACAGGTTCAGACCCGTGTAACCTAAGGGGAAGGATTTTCTCTAATAGTGGGAGGTCCTGCCATTCTTCCTGCCTTGGCCTGCTGTCCTGTGAAAGTTTGTGATTCAGCAATGGGAGGCCCCATGCAATCCAAGGGGAGGCCAAGAGACCAGAGCAGACCTGCAGGTCTATCACTGCTGTCCCAATGTGAACCAATGGTGGAACTCCTTGCTTACAGATGGATTGATATGTAAGACTAGATGTTTCCTTCTTGGCTCTGCCAGTTTTACTTAGGAGATCTTGATTCATCTGAAAGTTCCCAAACTCACGCACAAGGCATTCTGCATCATAAGAGTCTCAGCATCTGGCTAATACATCAGTGTGAATGAAGTGGGAAAATCAACGACTGATTTTTAAAACATATTTCACAATAATTATCGAATTATTGCCATTTTCCAAAATGGCAGCTGCATGTAAAGTGGAAATCTGACTCCTGGCCAGTGGCACTTGTTTGCCTCAGTTATCTTACAGCAGACACGGCAAGGGGTACTTCCTCCTTGCAGAGTCCTTTTCTTGGTGGTGCAGAAAATGGAAGCCCTTTAATGGAGTTAATTATAGATATGGAAGGATATAAAAGTAATCTCACCCATTTTAATTCTAACAGAGCTTGAAGCAAGACCAATTAATCTCTACCTTTCCTTCCATCTGTGGTTGGGTGTCTCAAGGCATAAGCCTTTGAAAGACGGATTCTAAAACATCAAGAAACATCAATATTATTTGATAGAGTTTAATATTCTGTAATAATATAGACTTGGATGGTCTTCCTGATCAAGAATTTTAGGTTGGACTTTTAAACTAAAATTCACTGAAACATAATTCATCAAAGTTTCTTAAGTTCACTACTTACAATATATTGATAGTCAATCATCTAACTAGGTATCCAATGTTTTTTAACATCCCCTCCTCTCTGTTAGATTCATATCTTCAACTTGTTTATATCATTATGCTCCTGGGCTATTCAGTAACCAGACATCTGTTCAGAAATCCCTCTAGAAAGTTCCCTACATTATTTATGTCACTACTAAAGCTATTTTCCCTCCCTTAAAAAGCAGCTGCTTTACATACAAAAGAAAAATCATTATTTAGCCAGGATGTTGATAAATGATCCTAGTTTCTTTTTGCTGACCCATCATTGCCTTTTATACACTAATTGGCTTCCTAAGCCTCTTCTGCTCTCAAAGATTGCCAAGTATCCATTTAATTTAATAGTAAATGCTATTCTTCTATTCTCTCAATTAAAAGTAAGCATTTAATGATTTTATGTAAATGGTTTTAATCTCGCACTCAATAGCTGATAAATGATTTTTGAAAGCTCTGAACTTTTTGTCTGCTTTTCTCCAGCAAGCTTAATATATTTTCCCCAAATTTCCACATTCCACATCATCAGAACTTTCATCCCATCTCAAAAGGGAAAAAAAAAATTTTTTAATGCTAATTAAAAGCCAAAATCAACCATTTGCAACCTCAACTTTCAAATGTCAATTTGTTTTTACCCAATTCAAGTAAATTTATATAGTGTAATTCTAAACTCCACTATTTGACATTTCCTGCCGAAGAAAATCCTAAGAAAGTGTCTATGTTGCTTTTGGAAGCAAGCGCCTCCTATCTGTGGTCAGGGGGAGGCAGGGCCCAGGCTGGTCCTCAAACTGGGTGATTTGCCTTTCTACTGTGCTTAGCATCATATCTCTAGGTATCACCTGCTGTTTTTCTGCAGCTGAATATTCTGGAGTATGGCCATGGCTTGAAAAGGATGCCAACAGGATAGAGGTGACATTCTGCGTTCCATACGCCACAAAGGGAATTCCCATCCGGAGAAAGGAAAGAAATTCATTTTTAAAAGACCAAGTAACAGTTGAGTCTTTGCATTTTTGAAAACTCGAGATCATTTTCTGCTGAATCAGCCAATCTTTCTGAAGCCTCAGAATTTCTGATTCCTATTCAGTATAGTTTTACTAAAACAAAAAATGCGAAGGAAGTGTTTTGTTTTGGTATAAAGAGGTTCTAAATAAACCAGTTTAAAAGAAAAAGGACAATGGGGGTATGACTACAGCCTGGTGGCTCTGCCTAGAATTCTTGGTGGAAATACTGAACTTGCCAAAAATTAGGGCTGGGGCTGGGGTGCGGGGGAGAGGTTGGGAGATTTTATCTTTCTAATTAGAATGAGGTTGCTAAACTAAGCTAGAGAGAACAGGACGAGAGAGACATAGGGTCCTGGCATATACAGATGCTGCTAGTTATTTTTGTTTCACGACAAGAGTTGTTTGTAAACAGGTAATTACCAACTACCACCACCACCGCATCCTCCTCCCCCGCCCCCCCAACCCAATAAAAAAAGTCCTGGCCTCAAACGAGCTTTTAGTTATATCTCTCCTTCGTCCCCATAGCCTCAATAACTTTAGTTTTCCAGCCGGAGAGGGAGAATGGAGAGGGGAGAGGGAAAGGAGGAGAGAGAGAGACAGACGTCTGCTGCCACTCTCCTGGCTAACTGAAATGCTTGTTCCCGAGATTACAGTAATTACAGCCCCAGCGTGAGTTCCATACAAGCGCTAAATGAAACAGCACATCAATTAAAAAATAAACACTCCATTCTCGGAGAAAGACAACCCCCTGGGACGTCCTAACAAGCGTAAATGAACCTGCCAGGCCGCCCGCCCCTCGGGCCCCTCCCCGTCTAAGGTGGCTACGAGCTGGCGGGGGCCTCGCTCGCTGGCCGCGTCCCCAGCCGCTCGGCCCCGGGAACACCGCGGAGACGTGTCCGCGCGTCCGCGCCAGGGCCCGGCGCCGCCTCCCACGGGGAGGAGGAGGCTTTGGCAAAAACATGTCAACTTTGGAGAGACGCACATACGTTCCAAAAGCGCGAGGCTAAGAGGGAGAATCCAGCCACAGAGTTTCCAGCCTGTCCTATAAGTTTTTCTTTCTCCCTTTCTGTTTTTTCTTTTTTAAAGAAGAAAGGGAATTATATCTCTTAAGGGAGCGCTTTATATATGTCCGGATGGTTTATATATCTTACCTAGCCTAATTAGCAGAACCCCCTTTGAGATCTGAACTAACCCCCTTTGAGATCTGAACCCCATTCTCCAGGTAAGGAAACTGACGCTGCCTCAAGTACCTCAGCTGAGGCAAGAGGAGACCCCTTTCTTCCCGCCCGCCCGTGTGCCCACGCCCCTCGCGCGCGCGCCCTTGGGCTACCTGGTACCTCTTCCCCGGCTGCCCCCTGTCCAGCCCCACCATCTAGAATGAACTGCAGTCATTCCTTTCCTCCCACATCGCCAATCCTCCAAGACCGTCGTTCTGACAATCCCAAGAAGGGCACCGCTTCCCCGTTCCCCCGCAAAGTCCCCGCGCACGCGCCGGCTGGCTGAGGGGCGAGGGGTCCCCTCGCCAGCAGGTTGCCCACATTCGGCGAGCGTAGGAAGCAGGGGCTTAACTAGTTCGAAACTGGCCTCTGAAAGCGCGCGCTGCATAAAGAATCTTCCCCAGTTCCCAAGCGCAGACTCGGGGTGAAGAAACCCCGACCTCAGCCCCACAGAGCGCCGCGGGGACGTTCGTGGCAAAACCCGTCTCTGCGGTCAACCCCAAGGTTATCCAAACTCCAGCCGCAGACAGCGCGCAACGCCGAGGGGACAGGCGGGTCCGCCCCAGGAAGGCGGGGCCTGGGGAGCGCGCAGACTCCGCCCCGAGCCCAGGATTGGCGCGCCGGCCGCGGGCGGAGACGGAGTCCGCGCCGTATAAATATTCATGAGCCGGCCTGGGCGTAGCGGGGCCGGAGCGGGAAGTTGGCGAGGGACACTGCTCCCGCCGAGGAGGTGGCGGTGGCGGTGGCGGTGGCGGCGGCGGCGGCGGCGGCGGCGGCGGCGGGGCGCGGGCGCGCCGCTCAGGTGTCTGCTCCGCCTTCCGGCCTGGATTTGCCTCCGTGAGTTCAGCGAGAAGGGAACCACCGACACCTCGCCCCAGTGCCGGCCGGAGCGCGACTTCACCGGAGGCGGGGTCCGTCATCCCGGCTGCTGACCGACGGACAGACGCCGGGGACTGAGGGCCGTGGCCTCGGCGGAGGCGGGCCCGTAACCCCGGCAGCAGCCGCGCGGCCTTGGGGGCGAGCATGAGCCCCGGGACGCCGAAAGGGGGCTGCAGGGGCTGACCCGGCTCAGAGCGGCCTGGCCCAGCCATCTTGACTGCGCACCGCGGCCCGAGAAGAAACTTGCTGCGCCGCCGCCCTCAGTGCCCGGCAGAGTCACCGGCGCGCGCGGAGAAAGCGACCGAGGGAGGGAGAGATGAGCCGGGGGCCGGCCACTCTGTCCCGCGAGGGCTGAGCCCGGCGGGAGTGAGCGGGGCAGACCCTGGGACCACGGTGCCCTTCGGCGGCCACCCTCGTCTCCCGCAGCTCCGAGAGGACGCATCTCCAGAAGGGACTAGGCTATTGGCAGAACCCCTCCCGAGAGAGGCAGGAGAGAGCCCGGCGCTCTCGCAGGAGCCCCTGGCGCCCCTCCGCGCGCCGCCCAGAGGGCGAAGGCGCGGGGCCGAGGCGCGCAGCATGGAGTGGGGTTACCTGTTGGAAGTGACCTCTTTGCTGGCCGCCCTGGCGCTGCTGCAGCGCTCGAGCGGTGCGGCGGCCGCCTCAGCCAAGGAACTGGCGTGCCAGGAGATCACCGTGCCGCTGTGCAAGGGTATCGGCTACAACTACACCTATATGCCCAACCAGTTCAACCACGACACGCAGGACGAGGCGGGCCTGGAGGTGCACCAGTTCTGGCCGCTGGTGGAGATCCAGTGCTCGCCCGACCTCAAGTTCTTCCTGTGCAGCATGTACACGCCCATCTGCCTAGAGGACTACAAGAAGCCCCTGCCTCCCTGCCGCTCGGTGTGCGAGCGCGCCAAGGCCGGCTGCGCGCCCCTCATGCGCCAGTACGGCTTCGCCTGGCCCGACCGCATGCGCTGCGACCGGCTGCCTGAGCAGGGCAACCCCGACACGCTGTGCATGGACTACAACCGCACCGACCTCACCACGGCCGCGCCCAGCCCGCCGCGCCGCCCTCCGCCGCCGCCCCCCGGCGAGCAGCCGCCCTCCGGCAGCGGCCACGGCCGCCCACCCGGGGCCCGGCCCCCGTCCCGCGGCAGGGGCGGCGGCGGGGACGCGGCTGCGCCCCCTGCACGCGGCGGCGGCGGCG